GACAAATAAGGCTATTAAGTCCAGGACCACAAATGCTGCATACAGCTGGGATTACCCCAGGCTGTGAGCTTGAGCGAGGGGTGAAGACACGGTTGTGAAGACGGGGGGTAAAGAGCCAACACTCCCGGCTGCCCTGGGACAGGAGGCACGTTCCGGACTGACCCCCTGTGCACCGCTTTGATTCTCACCTGAAAAATGAGTCAGGCACTTCCGAGTGACCCGAGTCTCCCTGTGCCACGGAAACACAACATCCTTTTTATCTTGGTCTATTAAGCATTAATAGGAAGCCCCTCCTGCTTCCTCAGCTGGGAAACAGTTTTGCCTGAAGCTGCTGGTGCACTTGTGCCAGGCAAAAAGGACAGACGTGGGCTTCCCTGCAGGGACACCGTCCTTATCAACTAACCTGACAAGCCAGCTGTGGCCGGAGCGGGCTGGCCTTAGGGAGGGGAGATAGGTTGATTGTAAGGACCATTTTTATTCTTCACGCAGAACTGCAGCTAAATTGGAATTGGATTAGTTGGACGCTTGTCTGACTGACAACCCCTATTCCTTTGGCTGTTTTCTGATCTTTCAATTCAGCTCTACCCATTCACAGAATAAAATGCTATATAAATATACAGACTTTTCCTCCAGCATTTCTGTAGTCTTTCCAGTTATGAACTGCAATAGCCTAGAAGCCATGGCCAGGCACACAGCCCAAGAACATAGTGCCCCACGATCCCAACGCTGATGCATGAGGAGCAAGACAAAGAGATTCCCACCGACCCTTTGAGATGAAGGTTTTCTTTACAACTCACAGGGATTGCAGTGACATAGGCTTAGTTTACACCTAGGAAGAGAAAAAGTTGCGCGTACAGCTCTCCTTTGCCCTGTTAGAAGAGGCTGAGCATGCATTTTTTTTCCAAGGAACAGGATTTCTGCAGCATTGGGGTCCCAGGGGAAGAAGGGGACCTTCAGCTGGGTCACGAAGATTCCTTATCACTGAGACTTGTGTCTAGTCCGCTCCCTAAAAAAAAAATAGTGGGTATATAATTTTTGCTTTTTATTCTGCGATAGAAAAAGGGGATTTTTCCACTAAGTGCACAAGACCCACATTCTGAGCATTCCTGCAGTAACGTTCAGTCATAGTTTGACAACATTTTCAAGCGACAATCTTATTGTTTTAATTATTGTTGTATAAAGAGCCAGAAATATGCACCGGACTCAGTTCCAACTTAAAAGTTACATCTGCAAGAGGCGGCTGTTGCAGGGGAAGGAATAACTCAAGGTAGAATCAGAATATGACTGTGGAGATGTCCTTCCACTTTGTCAGATAACAGACAGGAGAAGACAGTCGTCATTTGCTCTGTCCCGGTCCGGGCCCACTCAGAGACCAGAATCATTGACCATTCTGTAGGCTGGGAAACCCAGTTCACCTGTCCTCTTGTGAAGCAACTGCTTCACAAATTTTGTTGTCCACTTGTCTGAATTCCTTATGAACACAACGAGTGCTTCCCAGTCGCTAGACTGTAAGAAAAAACAAAACCAAAGCCAACATCCTAGGTAGAAGATAAGGTTTGGAAGAGAGCCAGAGGCTCCAAAAAGCAGGTGCAACAACAGCTAAATAGGCAACTGGGGATGGAAAGACCAAACACAGTGATAAAAAAAAAAAAAAAAAAAAAAAGCCCAAGGCCCATTTTCTCTAGCAGGTAATTAGCAGTAGCCTCAACAAGGAAATAGAGGCATCTTTCTGAAGCAAGCACGGCAGCAGGGTCCTCTCAAGATTCCCATCGTGTGGTTGTGGTGAGGGGCCTCTGCTAAGCTGAGGAAGGGGCTGTGACTCTAACACGTGCTGATCTGCATGTTGGACTTCTGATGGCACGAGTAAAGCCAGTGTGCGCTGCCCTGACATGAACTGCTACTGGGGACACCTTCAGACTTTGACCCTTAAGCAACAATTACAGACACATTTCATTACCAGGCACAAGGGAGTTTTCTGATAAGTTTCATCATTTATACTGTAACACATTACAGCACTGTACTTGATTCGTATGGACTTCTCCAGTGAGATGCCTCCATCCAAGACACTCCTGAACCAGACAATTTTTCTATCAAAAGCTGAGAGATTATGGCTAATTATTTCCTGCTGTTCTCTCTGTGTCTTTTTTATTCCATTAAACAAACAGACCATGTTTGGTATATGAGTAAGAAATGTAGTGTAACAGAAAATATGCTAGAAAGGAAGTGATTACTAATCACTGCTTTTTGCCCAAGACAGCTAAAGTGACCTATTTCCTCAGCTCATCAGCTGAGCAAACTACTGACTTCAAGATGTGAGAAACCATCCTCATTCTTTGGTTCCAAACACAATTTTGCTTCTGTAATGAATTTGAGGAGCAAATATGACCTGGGCTGAAAGAGAAGCACACAAGAACTACATTCATCCCATAAACAGAAGACATGAACGGGAAGCAGACAGGCAAACTTAAAACACAGCCTAACAGTTTATTAAATAAGTTTAATATTTCAATATGCGGGACTCAAGAGAGCACCAGTTAGATTAACATTAGCCTGGGACATTCCAGTACATGTTAGGAAGTAAAATGTAAACTGCTCTTAAAATAAAACTGTACTATTGCTTTGAGCAGCAGGAAGATAAAAAGATAATCAGAGCTCTCAAGTGACCAATCAGATGGAAATTAATTACAGATGTAAGGAGTTAAAAAGTATCAACTACCTTATGAGCACCTAACAAACCCCTAAATGGATATGCTTCTCTTATACTTCATTAGAATAGTTGGGTGTCTCAGTATTTCCAGGACAGAACATAATTTTCTGACAAAGTAATTAATCACTACGTATGCTTTATAGTTAGCACTGTGAGCCACAGCTTAGTATCCAAATGTTTTGATTCAAGAAGCTTTAATTTTGTGGTAGCTTGTTTTTGCCAGGAATGAGAGGAGGTAGTCCTCAAACATCAGCTCACCTGAAAATTTCAAATGGCAATTTAAAATCATATATTTACAAGTGGCTTTGGGGCTTCCCTTTTTATTTCCTCTGACTCAAGAACAGCACTAAAAGTTTCTTTACAACCCCCCCCCCCCAAAAAAAAAAAAAAGAATCCCTTTAAACTGAAACAAAATAGGAATACTTTACCGAGAAAATATGTAAAAATACGGAGCTGTAAACAATATTCTTCCATGATTTCAGCTACAAGTTGTTCTCAGACCCATGGCAAGGAGGAATGACCTAATTCCCAATAAAATCTAGCCCTATATTAGTTACTGGCAATACAGTTATCTAAAACCAACTAGTCTCAGAAAGACAGAATCTAATATTGAATTAATGCTTTGAAATATATCCAGCCTTGTCTTAGAAAGCCATGGGACTTGCTTCTAAGAAAGAGACCCCACTACTCAGATCTTCTGCAGCTGACACATAAGCACACACAGAGGCTATGGCTAAACCAGCAGGTGATTCAGCTCAATGCAAGCGAACATGTAAAACAAGGCAGCTGGCATAAGGCCCCTGCATCCACATGAGAGCTTCGACTTTGGTCCAACTTCAGTCTGGTTGTTTGGAGACCCGAAGTTCCCCGCCGCAGATGGGGTTTGAAGCTGTCCAACGGACCAACCACTGGTCCACCTGGAGATGATTAGCTCTTCCTTAGGATGATGAAGATTTGGTGCTGTCAATTCAAAGACACACTGAGGCAATCCCCCACAGCTCCTGCTTCCCTCTTCTCAATTTATTGTCCTCTCCTGCTTTGCACTGCTCCGCTCCATCACTCCTAGGACACCGTGCCCATGGCATTTTAAGTGATCTAAGGATGGAGGCAGGTTTGTGCTCCCCTGAGCGCCAGGGCTTGCTCCTGTGTGCCCGCAAGGAAGGCTGTAGCAGCATAAGGGCTGCTAGGTGAGACAAACTCCAGGTGTAGGAGGGAAAAACCCTCCAGTGACAGTTGGGGCTGACTTTGCCGAGTCACCTCAGGAGCCAGGGGCTCTCTCACTCCAACCCAACCCATCCCATGATCTGCCTGTCAGGGATTTTCAGAGCTCACCTCCCGTTGACTCCCCAAAATACGTAGGATGGCTCTTGGTCACAGGAGCGTTTTAGTACAGGGTTCTTTAGGTGAGGCAGGCTGTCTGCCACTCCTCTGCTGGCCACTGCTCCTCGGAGGATCAGATACAGGTATCCCATTCCTCACAGGGGTTCCACCTTCCCGACAACCCTCCTTCAAGGTGAAGGCGACACCGCAAACTTAAACGCCCCAGAGAAACTGAGTCACGACGAAACCCTGAAAGTCCGAAAACGTTGAGGCCCTTCCGCCACGCTGTCAGAAGGGGGGTTGCTTTCTCTCCTCTCCCCCACCCCTCGCGCTGCCGTGAACCTGGCGGTTTCTCAAGGCCGTGGGTCGGAACGCAACCCGCGCTCCCAGCCGGCGAGGACCCTCCTGCGAGCTGCCTTGGGGCAATCCTCGGGGGGACGCATTTTGAAAAATGAAGACGCTGGACTGGCGAGCGCCCACGGCTCGTTTATTTCAGGCGTTTGACCGGAAGAAAAGCCGTGTGTCGGGCACCTCGCTTAAACACGCACCCACACACACCCACACCCACACACCCACGCACCCACACTTCGCCCCTCCACGGGGGGCCCGAGGCCCGCCCCGCCAGGAACGGCCCACGGCGCGCCTGGGTCACGCACCCCCCCCCCCACGGCGGCTAGCGGGACCCCGTGGCGTGGCGTGGCGTGGCGTGTGTGTGGGGGGGGATGTCAGACAGGTGCCCGGCGGGTCCCGCTCGGTGCCGCTCGGTGCCGCTCTTTCCCCCGCCGCCGCCCCGGCTGCCGAGCGTGTGTCAAACCCACGTGCTCCGGCGGCCCGGGCCGGGCCCCGCCGGCCCCGCGGCCTGCACCGGCCCCGCGGCGGGGAGCAGCAGCAGCAGCAGGAGGAGGAGGAGGAGGAGGAGGAGGAGGAGGAGGAGGAGGAGGAGGAGGAGGAGGAGGAGGAAGAGGAGGAGGGCGGCGTTTTCCAGCGCGCTGTCGCCCCGCCGCCGGCGAGCGTCAGGAGGGGAGGGCGGGGGGGGGGGGGGTGTGTGTGTGGGGGGGAGGCCGCGGCCCGGCCCGGCCCTTCCCCTGGCCCCCGCGCCCCGAGGATGGCAGCGCTGCCCGTACGAGTGGCTGCCGGCGGTGTCCCTCCTCTTTTTTTTTCCGGCGGCGGCGGCGGCGGCGGATCATTGTTGTGTGGGAGGAGGGCGGCGGGGATGGACTTGATCTCTCGGGTCTCCTGCTAAGGCGGCAGCACAGCGCGCCCAGCCAGCACCCGCCACAGAGCCGCGCCGGGCGGGGACGGACCGGCCCCGCGCCCGCTCCCCGGCTGCTTCATTTTTAGGGGACTCTGCTGCTCCTCTCCCTCGCCCTTATCCCCCCACAACCCTCCCGCTATCACACACGCACGCACCCTCCTCCTTTGCCCTTTCATCCTTTACCCCCCCCCCCCCCCCCTCCGCCGCCGCCGTCCTCCCGCGCCGTCTCCTGCCGCGGCAGATGCGCTGGGGGTCACCGCGCAGCTGGGACTATGGTGAAATTTCCAGCGCTCACTAACTACTGGCCCCTGATCCGGTTCCTGGTCCCTCTCGGCATCACCAACATCGCCATCGACTTCGGGGAGCAGGTAAGGCGGCAGCACCTCCCCCGGGGGCGACCCACACCCGCCCGCCCTCCTTCCCTCCCGCGGGGGCCACGGCGGGGCTCGGCGCCTCCGCGGGGGAAGGAAGGCGAGGCGGGCCGGGCCGGGCCGGGCCGGGCCGGGCCCCGCCGTCCTCCCCCGGCGCATCGCGGCGGGCGGGAGCGCGGCCGCTGCGCCGTTGGGTTCGGCGGGCGGGCGGGCGACCGGTGCCGCCGCGCGCGCCCCGAGAGCCGGGGCCGGCTCCGCGCCCCCGCTCGCCTCACGGGGAAGGACGGCGGGTTTGGGGCCGGGTTGTTTTATTTCGGGGTCCCCCCCCCCCCCCCCACCCCCCGGTCTTGTATCTCGGGTTTATATAATCCGCAATTACATAATGCGTTCTCGCCGCGGTTGGTTTTGGTTCATTCCCCGCGCTGACACGGCCCCTCAGGTGCAGCGGCGCGGGCGCGGCGGCGGGCTCAGCGCCGCGGGCCCGGCGTGCCGGAGCGGGGCCCGGCTGCCGAGGGTCCCCGCGGCCCCGCCGCTGATGCTGCCGCAGCGGCGCGGCCCCTCCGCCGCACCCCGGAGAAAGGAGGGGGAGGAGGGGGGGGGAGAGCCGCTCCGCACCCCCCGCGGGGAATGGGGCGGCTTCCCGGGGGCGCTGCGGGCAGGTGAGGCGCCGGCTGCCGCCCCTCCCCTCCCACCGTCTTTTGTGAGCCGGGAGGCCGCGGTGACGGGCGCGGGGCAGAGAATCGGGGCGCAGCGGGGGGGAAGGAGCTGCTGCCACCGTACTTCAGCCTTGGACAGACCCGGGCGCTTCAACCCAGCTGAAATGCGGTGGCTGTGCCCCCGTCCCGGGCACTACGACACTCGGGTGTCCCCGTCCCCCCCCAGACTCGCCGCCAGCCTCCCTTACACGCAGCTCTCCCTCTTCATCCTCCAAATCCCCGCTTGTAGCGTTTGCGCGGAGAACATGTTTTGCTCTCGATGTACCCACTCCTTCCTTTTTCCCGGGCTGGGTCCCTGTTTGCCGTGGCACTGTGGTGTGGGGAACTCGCTGCTCCCGCGTTTCGGTATTTATGACAGGTAAGGCCCTGGTCTTGTCTCAGGCTGCACTGTATGGGACCTATCATTACATTTTTGGTCAGACAGGATACACTTACTCACAAATTGTCAAGCCGGGCAGCCACAGTAAATACTGCATCTCAGGTAGCTTTTATCCGTGTCGCAAGTCACTCGGTTTTGCCGAGAAGCTCTTGTTTTCGAAGCAGGATAAGCAAAGATACCAGAAAATTAGTGGGCACTTTCACCCGTTTGTAAAGAAGAAAATGAAAGGAAAAATGTTACAGTGGGAAAAAATAGCCAACGCTAATCGTATGTTTGTCATGGTTGCGTTAATCTCATTTTGCTTACTAGTCCTTTACATTCAAATAAGCCACAATACTAAAAAATTTCAATTCCATCCTTGGCTAACAACTACATACTTTCCTACTAAGTCTTCTACAAATCACACTTGGGTGGGGAAAAAGGAAAAGCTAAAGATAGAAATTACGAGGTAAAAGGTGATTTGAATGCTAGTAACTGTGCCACATTAATTACATACAGCAGAAGTTAAATTGAAAGCAGTTCACTCAGCAAACTGAGTATGACAGGTGCCTGTGTACAGTTTGCTTCATACAAGGTCAGCTTGATTCAAAAGCCGTGTCAGCCCATAAATATCATCCCCTTGGCTTCAGTGTGCTCGGCACCAGGATTTCAAAAATCAGCAAGCAAGAGATCACAATTTTATAAGTGAGGGGCCTTCTGTCTGGCCGGGTACCAGTGACACGGGAGGGATGTTACCATGTGGATGACACATGTAAGCACTTAGCTACCCAACTTTGACAGCGTTAGGATCAAAATATCTCAGAAAATATGTTTTATTTAATAGCCAGATCATAGGATTGGCCCTCCAGGAGTGTTGGGGGTCATCCCCTGTCTCAGGTGGTGGCCTGGGGAAGTGCTTCGTTGAAAAGGGAGAAATCTAGCAAGCAGAGGGACTCCGGTAGATAACCCCAGCTCAGGAGTGGGGGGAATTGGAGAGATACTTTTTGTGCCAGCCTAGTGGGAGACTCACCTACCTGGAAATCAGGAGACTGAGTTAGGGACAAAGTTACTCCAGGTCTGAAGAGATCCTCTTACAGACAAAAGGACAAGGATTTTATTTTCCTGTACATATTACATGAAGTTATTTTTTACACTTGTAGGACATTACTGTTGGACTTGTGTGGCTGAAAATATACTGACTTGCTGAGCCGGTTGCCTTTCTGATCTCCAAAATTGTAATAATTTTAATGACAGGGCTGAATGGAAGCGACGTAGAATAATGGGTGTGCCAACAGATAGCTCTGAAAAGGCTGCCATACCTCCTTCTGTGAATGTATGCTGCAGATAAAAAAGATTTCTAAGAATGATAAGAGAAGTAAAATTTGCATGAAGTAATTTTATCTGCTCTGGACAATACTGTAAAAGAGACAGGAGAACTCTAGGTCAGAAGTAAGAGATGACTGTAAACAATTAGGGAGGGAATGAACCTTGCCTGTCCAGGGAAGAAGAGGTGTTTAAGAAATGCTGTAAGTCATAAACCCTTTTGGTGTGTTGTGTTCATACGCTGCTCTCTCAAGCTGGGAGAGTATTTGGAAGGAGAACGTTCAAAGCAGAGTCTTTTTAACAAAACCTAGTACTGTTAGGTACCTGAGATTGAAAAGTGAGAAACAAAGAGAATCTCACAGCTTATTTTATTTTTTTTTATCTTGAGAGGCTTTTCTGGGTGTTGAATAGTTTTATTCAATAGCAAACATCACTAGGAAATTGCTAGATCCTCGGTACATGGCTGTCTCTAGATTTCTTGATACTTTAAGGGAAATTTACGGTAAGGCTAGAGAATATTTGCAGAACACAGTCTGTGACTGTCACCACCATTACCCGATATGAGATGTTTGCTATGGAAAGTCCGTTTGCTTTGCAGGAATTAAAAAATGCTGGAGCAGTGCTCATAAGAACTAACAAGCTCGGTTCCTGCAGTGACTTCCAGAACCGCTGTAGCCTCCCGTTGACCCATGGACCCATCCAATAATGCTTTAGGACAAGGCTGTATTACAGAGTTACTCCAATCTAGTGAGCCAACTTCATCTGTTCACCTCATAAAATGTTCTTAGACAAGCATCTGATTTTTTTTTCCCCCCGCTGAAAAAGATAGCCCTGATGCATGACCAGGTAAATTACCAGAAGATTAGAGAAAGAAATAATTTCTAACCTATGCGCGTTATTTCCTTCTGCAGCCCATTTCTCTTACAATTTATTTACAGTACTACATAGCTTTTAGGAAATAAAATACTACATAGCTTTCTTCTTAGCATAAGGCCTTCAGGAAAATAGTCCCAAATATTTTGGCTGGATGTTCCTTCTCCACACAAATATGTGTCTGTGTCAGTGAGTGTGTGTGTGTGTGCTCACACACATGTATTATTTATGTATTTATTTTTCTCTAGGTACACGCACACACACACAAATACACACAACAGAGCATTTCATGCTAAGAGCTTAACGCATACTATCAGAAGAGATTCTCTCTTTCATTCTGCTGGTGAGAGCATTCGGCTCTCGACGTCTTATCCCGAGATTCATGATAATGTTTTATTTAGAGCTCAGCTGTTGGAGAGCAGAGTTTGCATTAAAAATCCCGGCTTCTGTGAAAAACGTTGTTGGATGTACTTGCTTGGAAATACATAAATAAACTGCTCCCATGTGTTGGAGCACAACACAACCTCAAACAACCCAACCAGCAAATAATACCACCGTTACCCTGTGCGCTCAAAAATCTGTCACCACCCACATCAGTTTTCCTTTTCGCACAGTTTCAGAGCCACTCACATATATTGTGGTGGCCTGATTTGTCATGTATGTGTACATTTGCATTAGCATTATTATAAAGGAGGAAAACTGAGGTGTGCGTTAATTCACTGACTTCCTCAGAAGTGCAGAATCGGCCCTAGGAAGCGTGAAATACAATTTGCAGATGTGGCTGGTAACTCTCTCTGTTGCTCGTGGTTGTGGCAAAGGCCAGGCAGAGAGCAGTATTTTGAACCGGGGGCCTGTCTGTAATAGTCCCTTAATTATCAACAGGAACAGTAGGAGGTGTTTGTTTTTTTTTTTTTTTTTCCTTTTCTAGCTAACATGTAGCCAGCCCCTGAACCATTAGTTTCAATTGCTGTCACTAGCTGTTGGTTGGACAGTTTTATTTACCAACATAACTGTTAGGTATGTTGGCATAATGTTGTTTAGTACCTGTGGGTCCTTGGAAATGAAAACTGAGCAAGTAGCATCTTGCTGCCGCTTTCTCCTGAGGTCACTGGGGTGCTCTGGTCCCGCAGAGAAATTACCGTACGCTGTACCCAGTGTAGTGGTTGGGATCAAACAGATGAGCCATAAAGGAAGTGCTAAATGTTTTGGAATCTAAATTATTTTGCAATACTGGCTTGAAAAGCAAACTGTTGTTTTTTGTTTTTTTGGTTTTTTTTTTTTTTTTGTCTTGTATTTGAATGTTTTTTGAGGGTTTTTCCATAAGAAAAGAAGTGTTGCCAGAAAATGAGAACAAGTGTCGTGAACAGCGCATCAAAAAGAATTAGGGAGTTTATCGTCTGCCCATGCCGTTTGCAAACTTTGTAGGTGGTTAAACATTTTGATTAATACTTCATGAAGCTCATTTTGGGGGTAAGTGTTATTCTCTGGAAGTCCAGGACAAGCAACAGGAGAGTTCACGTACCCAGCTGTTCATGGGGGATTTGAGCCAAGTTGTGTAACCTTCCCGTGGCACATTTCCCCTGCCTTTCAAGTGTGCCTAGGCACCTACCTGTGCGTCGCAGGGATGCAATGAAAATTCATGTGTCAGAAGCTCTCCGAGATGAAAGGTGCTGTATGAGTGCAAAGTACTCTTGTTATTGCTTTTGTGAGAGGTCAGAGACACCTTT